CCGGGAAGGGAGAAAAAAAAGAAGGTTTGGATCTGTTCGAAGGGGCTTGGGTGGGTGGGCTTACCTTGGGCCAAGGCATCCCAAATCGGTTTAGTTTGGCTCTCTTTCTCTCAAACAGCAACAATTCCTCTCTTCTTCTTCTATTTTCTTTATCCAGAAAACAAAGAACAGCGCCAGCACAAGAGAGAAGTTCTAAGAAACTTTCCATCAGGCTTATTAACCAGGATCCCTTCTTCATTTAGACGGATGATGACTAATGGCTGTGGCAAGGTAGGAGAAAGAAGGGAGGGAGGGTGAAATTTGTGTAACAAAGATCCATAAATCAACTTGGAAACTCAGGGAGAGAATCCATCACTGACCGGGAAAATACAGTCAGAGGGCTAAAGGAAGTTCAGAGGACCTCTGAATAGTCTCTTGGTATCAGCTGGTTTTGTGGTTGGCCCTCTATTCACCCTCTTGGGGTTGATCAATTCTGTTTTAGAATTCCCATCTGTAAGAAAGGGAATCTGGATTTAACAGAATAACAGAGTTGGAAGGGTCCTTGGAGGTCTTCTAGTCCAACCCCCTGCTCAAGCAGGAAGCCCTGTACCATTTCAGACAATGGATTGTCCAATCTCTTCTTAAAAACTTCCAGTGATGGAGCACCCACAACTTCTGGACTTAAGTCATTCCACTGATTAATTGTTCTAACTGTCAGGGAATTTCTTCTTAAGTTGGTTCTCTTCTTGATTGGTTTCCTTCTATTGCTTCTTACCCTGCCTTCAGGTGCTTTGGAGAATGGTTGATTCTTCTTCTTTTTGGCAGCCCCTCAGATATTAGAACACTGCTATCCTGTCACAATTAGTCCTTCTTTTCATTAAAGTAGACACACCCAGTTCCAGCAACCATTCTTCGTACGTTTTATCCTCCAGTCCCCTCATCATTTTTGCTCTTCTCTGCACTCTTTCTAAAGTCTCAACATCTTGTTTATATCGTTACAACCAAAACAATTTTGAAGAAGTTAAGGGTGTGTCTATTTAATTTAATTTATGAAACAGATTATGACACATACAATAACAAACAGAAATTGTTAATGTCTTAGATTCCCTCGTTCTTTAAACAATCAATAGAAGGAATTCATTGGTAAAAATAAATAAGTATAATCCAACAACAAACATTAATAACAGAACATTATGTTTGATAGAATATAAATAACAGAGAACCTATAGGAAACAAGAAATAACTGCCACATAATATAATTTATGAAATATTTAACTCACTGTCAATGTATTAAAGGAAAGTTTAATCAGTTTTAGCACAGAGATTTATTGTGACGTTTGTTTGTATGAATCTTTGTCTTTTGAGTCTGTATATTTGTATATTTTAATTTTTTGTATTCAATAAAGTTTATTTATAAAAAAAATGTAGGGTATATCATATAGGAGAAACAATCGGTGGTCAAAAGCAAGGAAATACAGACTTAAACAAAGACCTTCAAAAATATAGAGCGAATACAACGATCAAAGGAAAAAAATGGGGAAATAATTTTCTTCTTTGTCTACCACTCTCTCCTGTAAAAACTATGCAGTCAATAAGAATGCCTTCATTCAGGTCAAGAAGGGAATTAAAAAAAATCAGGACCACGGTATCATCTGTGAAAATCACTCATGCCCTTGTCAGCTCAAGCTCAACTACTAAAGTGCATGGTCTGCCCTTGAAGGCTACTCAGAAGCTTCATTTCGTCCAGAATGTTGCATTACAAGAATAACAAGAGTTGGAAGAGACGTTGAAGGTCTTCAACCTGCTGCTCAAGCAGGAGATCCTAGTATATAGGGCCTATATATCATTCCAATCAAGTGACTGTCTACAAGCTGCTAAAAGAGAATCTCCAGCCGTTTTTGATCTGATGAGACCTATTTGAAATTTGGATCATGTGTTGAGGGCGTTCTTGCAGAATGTAGCTGGGTCTTGTCAGTTTTGAGCATGTAAGACACATAAACAGAATAACAGAGTTGAAATAGATGTTGCAAGTTTTCTAGTCCAACCCCCTCCTCAAGCAGGAAACTCTATACTATTTTACTGGTTGTCCAATCTCTTCTTAAAAATCTCTAGTATTGGAGCACCCATAACTACTAGAGGCAAGTTAATTGTTCTCACTGTTAGGAAATTTCTCGTTAATTTTAGGTTGGATCACTCATTGGTAAGTTTCTATCTGTTACTTCTTGTCTTGCCCTCTAGTGCTTTGAAGAATAGATTGGCCCCCCTCTTCTTTGTGGCAGCCCTTCAAATATTGGAACACTCTTAGCATTGATAGATTTGGCCCAGTGTGTATTCTAGGTGTGATTCAAGGAGCTGGTCATCTTTTCTAAAATCCTACATGGTGTAAAGGTTCCCCTTGCATGTACGTGCTAGTTGTTTCCGGATCTAGGGGTTGGTGCTCATCTCCGTTACAAAGCTGAAGAGCCAGCACTGTCCGAAGACATCTCTGTGGTCATGTGGCTGGCATGACTAAACGCCGAAGGCGCATGGAACACTGTTACCTTTCCACCAAATGTGGTCCCTATTTTTCTACTTGCATTTTTTTACATGCTTTTGAACTGCTAGGTTGGCAGAAGCTGGGACAAGTAAGGGCAGGGTTATTTGATGGACTGCTTATCTCATGGGGTTTCTGCCCAGCCGGTGAGAGTCAACACAGCAGACATGCTTTGGTGACATGTGTTTCCATTACATCATGGCATCTAGGAAGACCTAGGAAATGTACTTTCTTTGTTGTAGTGTTGCAGTATCCTTTGGACTAAGATTCCCCCCGAGATCTGTGTGGATCCCACCATGATGGCACCTGAGAAGTTACAAAGCAGTATTTCCCATCTTGGTGGCTTTAAGGTGCATGGATCAACTACACGTAGTCCTTGACTTATGACCACTTATGAGTCACAAGTGAATTTTGCTCCATTTTAGCCCTTTCTTGCGACAGTTGCAGTTAAGCTAGTGACAGGGTTGTGAATTCAATCTGGCTTGCTTGTCAAAAGATCGAAGGTTGTAAGTAACAACTACTGCAGTGATTAACTTAACAGCTGTGGCAAGAAAGGGTGTAAAATGGGGCAAAATTCATTTAACAACAGAAATGTCATCTTAGCAACATAAATTTTGGGCTCGGTTGTGGTCATAAGTAGAGGACTACCTGTAATAGAGTGAAGGTAGGTAACCATAGGTAACCTGGCACCATGCCACTTAATCACATGCCAGACATCTGGTAATCCTGGCCAGTGGAGAGAGCCCTTTATCCAAGCATGAACAACACTAGCCCAAAGCAAACAGGAAATCTGGGGCTTATAACCCCCTACCAGTCCTAAGTATGCCACTGCCAACATGGGCAGCCAGGGGTGTCTGCAGGATATAGTTAAAAAGATCAAGGTAACAGAACTTTGATTGCATTGAAGTGATTGCCTATTAAACTTTTTTGACTGTGCCTTGCAGACACCCCTGTGGGCTGCTAATCATGGCAGATTTTACATCTCAACATTACCACTAGTTTCAACCCTAGTGCAGCCAACTGTGGCTTTAAAGCAAGGGTCTTCAAACTTGGCAACTTTAAGACCTGTGGACTTCAACTCCCAGAATCCCTGAGCTAACATGACTGGAGGAGGAATTCTGGGAGTTGAAGTCCACAAGTCTTAAAGCTGTCAAGTTTGAAGACCCCTGCTTTAAAGCATCTCACACCTGGGTTGAAAACACAATGAAGTCAATATGACAGGGACCCTGCAGAAAAATGCACAGTTTAAGCCTGATTTCTTTTCACAGAGACTAGGGAATAGTTTATATAGTATCATTTATATGCAATATAAATGATGTTTTATAATTAATGTTATATATTATATATTTTCAATTACAATTGGAATAACATTTACGCAAATCCTGTTTATAATGAGAAATGAATATCTGCTAAATTATAACGCCCCTGCTTTATGACATTTATTCATCAAACCATAATTCAATTTTTGCTCAGAAAATGGAAATAACATTTTGGAAATTAATAGGTGCTGCTGATGCATGTTATTAAAAAGGGCTGGAGAAATTCTGGCTTTTTCAGCAGAGATAAGTTTTGTTGTGTTTCTAGAGTGCCCTCTCCTGGTATTCAGGAGACTAGTAAAATAAATGCCTGGCACGTGGCCCTTGAAAATAAGAGAAAACAATCTCCAAACTGTAAACCTGATTCTTCTGGGTCCCATTTTAAAGCAGCAGAGGATGGAAAAGCCAACTAAAAGAGTCTATTGGAATTGAGTGGCTAATAAATTCAAATAAAATATAACATGTATTTAAAAAGGGCAGTGCAACCTAGATGAAGTGCGATAGAAGGGCTTGTTTATTCTTTGTATATCTGCTTTCAAAGAGGGAGTTAGATTTTTTAACATTTTCTGAAGATCTATTAGGGACATAGGAGTAAGCCTCACTGAATTCAACTGAGACTTCAGGGGTCTTCAAACTTGACAGCTTTAAGACTTGTGGACTTCAACTCCCAGAATTCCTTCTCCAGTCATGTTAGCTCAGGAATTCTGGAGGTTGAAGTCCACAAGTCTTAAACTTGGCAAGTTTGAAGACCCTTGCTTTATCTAATGCGGTCTGAATCTCCATCCCTATACTACATTACCAGTGTTTCTCAATTCAGCAATTTTAAAATATGTGGACTTTAACTCCCAGAATTCTAGCTGGCTAGGGAATTCTTTAAGGATGCTGAGTTTGAGAAATACTACTTTATTATACTTTCTTATTAGGAATAAATCCCATTAAATTCCATTCATAAGTGCATGGGGTTACTTGGAAAACTATTCCTTTAAGGCCTTAGAATGAAAACCGGAAGTCTTAAACCGATCTTGATTGTCTTGATTGATAAGCCTAAGAAAGAACGGAAGAGTGACTCTCTCCCCTATCGGCTCTATGGCTGTTTTCGCGTCGCTTTCCCCTTTCCATTGGTCCTTCGAGTTCCCGGTTGCCGGGCAACACGAGTGCGGCCGCGCGGTGCAGGCCGGGAAGCGGAGGCGAGCGGCATGGATGCCCACGAGCTCTTCCGGAAACTGGGCGCTGGAGCCAAATTCGACGTGAGGCGCTTCAGGCGGGACGCCGAGCGTTTCGGGGTGAGGAACGGAGGTTGCGTCCCCGTCTTTGGGCAGACGTCCACGGCTGAGCGAGGGAGGCTGTGTGTGGAGGGTAAAACTGGAAAATTCTCCCTCCATTGATTGGAGTTGAGTCCGAAATGAATGGACGGCACTCTTCAGAAAGCGTTTTGTCTCTATGAACATTATTGGAAAATTGTCTATTCTAAGAAAATGTTTTTGTATCTCTAACAAAATGTGTGTGTGTGTGTATCTATCTATTCTATGTAATCTATCAAATATATCTATCTATCTATCTAATCTATCTATCTATCTCTCTAATCTATCTAATCTAATATAATCTAATATAATCTAATCTATATGCGAAATACCACTCATGCATCATCACAAAATCTCCAGAACCATAAAGCCTACAAACTTGAAATTTGGCACGTATGTTCCTCTTGGCTCCTAGGTGCTCACTAAGAAAGGATTTTTTGAAATGACCATCAGAGCATTATTATTTCCTCTATTATTATTAATATGCTCTGATGCTAAGGAGTTCTACTCCCCCTCCCCACCTGAAAGGAAATCTGTACCAAATGCAAAACACAAGCAGAGGAGATGAGTTTCCGTTTTAGTTTCAAAGCAGCAACCAGCTTTGGTACAGAACAGTTGAGCTAAGCCGTGCCCAGGCTCCTTGCTATACACACACACACACACACACACACACACACACACACACACACACACA